GCCCCTGCTCGGAGCCGCGGCAGGCGCTTAGTCACGCGTCAGAGCTCCCCCGGAGAGCTTGCTTTAAGTCCGATTTTTACGGAGCTGTGGGCCGAGGGTGGCCTCAGCTCGGTGGCTGCGGGGCAGAGCTGCTGCGGAGGGCGAAGGGGGGAGGTGGGAGAGGGACCACCGTGGGCGGGGAGGAGAGGGGGATCCGAACGGAGGTCTGGTGGCAAAGAGCCTGCTGTAGCCTCGCCTTTGGCACATACAGCCCTCGGAGCCGATAAGTCATCAGATTTTTATTTCAATCTGTTGAACCACTTGGTATGGTTCCTTTATTTCCAGTAACTCATCCTGTCACCACCTTTGTTAAAATTGCCTCTTGCCTTCCATTAGTGAAGATTCAGAATTTGCCCTGAACCATGGAAACTTTCCTGCTTTGTGTACTTGTCATCAGCAGTGACATTCTCAGGCAGGAGTGTATTTCCATGTATTGATGTTGGAATTTCAATAACACCACGTTTTCTGTTTGAAAGTATCACTGGTTTCCTCGATAAAAATAAACACCTTTTCTTTTTGTACCTAAAGCTAATTAACATACTCCCTTTCGGAGACTATAGCCAGCAGCTCCTGTTGTGCCTGAACACATCTCCTGTGTGGGCCTTTTATGAACCTACTGAGAAGCGCCATGGGTGTCTGTCCTTGGGGCCTGCTTGTGAGCTGCACTGTTTATCTTCTTGCTCCAGAAAACTAAATTAATTTAAGACTAGGGCCAAGCTTAAGCTTTTTCTTTGCCCTTTCAAATGGTTTGACTTAGGTCTCTCATCATTCTCAGATGTGTTCAAGATGTGTCAGTAATTCTAAAGGGTAGGCAGCTATCTTTCAGAGCATCTACTCATGCAGTTTTATAAACTGATGAGTTGATTTCACGCGCGTTGACTTGGATAGCTCCTCATTACCTTTCAGCTCCCATGTGGGGTTAGTCAGATAACATGTGACAGAAGGTCTCAACCTTTGACTGAACTTCTTTCTGTTAAGCTTAGTTCTTTGCTCTTTGCATTTGTTACAAATATCCTTTGGTATCAAGCATTTTGGTCAACAGCTTTTCCCATAGAAATAATGTCATCAGCTGTATCCTGATGATGCATCTTTGAACCAGGCATAAGTCCTGACGTTCAAACTGAATGAAAAGTTAAGTCAAATGTTACCTAAAGGTAACTTCAACTTACCGAGAAACATTCCTGACATGAGAAGTAACAAACATCTTTTCTGCAAATAAAACTTAAAAACATCTTATTCACTTAAAAACTCCTGAACCTTCTAAAATTTGTGTCACAGGTGACTTAATTTTGTCTGCGACTTCACTCACAATGTTTGTGACTTAATTCTCTGGAATAATTGACTTTGTAGTTTTAATAACATTCTTTTAAGGTCGCTGTGTATGATTTGCTACATAAGAAAAAAAGAAATGGAAAAAATAAAAAACAAAATTTCTGTCATGTAGCATTGGAATGATGTAAACATAGGCTATCGCCTACGGACTGTACAAGCAGATATCTGCTACTCGTGCTGAGCAATTAGGAACTGTATCAAATTTTCCTTACATGAAAGATCTCTTGCAGAGGATGAGACATTTAAAATACTAGGTTTCATCAGTTGTCAGAATAGTTTAAGCACGCTTGTCCAGACAATATTGCTGCTATTTCTCATGGGTTATATGTAGTTGGTTCTGCAATCTACAGGAAGGCTTAGCTGGCTCTTGATGTAAAAGCATAGCTGCAAACTCACGAGTCTTGTGTCACATGCTGTCTGCTGCAGCGTGTCAACGATGTGTGGACCAACTACAGTCCCATTCCACGTGTTACTCTGATTGTAAGTGTTCAGGTCATATTGCTGCCTTTCCATCGCAGGGCAGAGTCAGCACTGAGTTAGGGCAAACTCAGCTTCACAAGCTCATTGGAACAGTCCAAAAGAATGGCCATTATTCCCTCTGATTTATATGCCACCTAATACAGTACACAATTTGCCTTTTTAGATTTGTCTGTGGTTTGCCTTCTGGATTCCCTTAGCCTTCTTGAGTGTTTTGTAATGGATCTATTTCTTCTTCTACTTCTGGCTTTTATTTCTTTACAGTCTCAGTCTCCCATGGGCTTTAGTATTCATCAGTCACGCCTGAGTGTGCCAGTGCTTCAGGCATTACTCCTGGAGGTGGTATCACTTCTTTTTTTTTCCCCAGTAAGATAGTACCACAAGCTTTGCCTTCATTTCTTTCATCTTTATTCCCTTAGGCAGCTCTCAATACAGACTTGGTGTTTGCTTTCGTGTCTGTACAGGATTTTTTTATGTCTAAAAATTAAGCTTTATGCTGTCTGCTTCTGTTTCTTCGTTCTGCTTTGTTTTCATGCTAATCACAGTATTTTTCATGCTCTGAGTCTCTTTAGCTTGACCTTTGCCACAATGTTTCTTGTACCTCATGCTGAGTAATTAGAAAGGACATCAAATGTATATCCCAAAATTATTTGTAATTAAAACAACTCTTTAAAAAGCTACTGTAACTGCAGCTGGTATTCACATTGGTGCACATCTTGGTGCCCTTCCAGATTCTGTCCTCCCCCAACAGGTTGCTGAGGCCCTAATCCTCTAATCTATACCCTCTAGAAATGACCCTCTAAGAGCCATCTGTCAGCTTGCTCCTGTCCAGCATGGAGCAAACAAACCTAGCCTTCCTCTGAGAAGGGGATTCAATCCCAAGTGTAACCCCGTAAGCTCCTAAAGTAACGGTTTGTGCCTACTAGAGTCCACTTGACACTTTTTGACCACAAACTTTTTTTTTTTTCTATACCAAAAAATACCAACTAAGTATCTTTAATTTGGTTGGTATTGATCTTGATTATATTACCTATATGTATCATAGTGTCTCTCTTCCTTCTTCTATACTCTTGATCCTTGTTCTGTGCTTCTTTTTTTTTATCAGACTTGCATGTTCTGCCTGATAATTTTCTACTGTAGAAGATAAGGAAATATATCTTTGGCTGTATCTATCATGCTTCCAAAAGAAAAATGAAAAGGAACTCTTGCAATGAAGTAAGTCAACAAGACTGATTCTTAAGGAATCATCAATAATAGCTCAACTGTATTATCTCACTAAAAAAAAATGCAGATTTATTACTTTCTTCATTTTTACTGTCAATACAATACATGAAAAAAATTATACCAGCCAAACAAGTCTACTACAGTTTGGTATCTGAGCTGATAAAATGGCTGTCTTCAAATATGGAACCTGAATGAAACAGCAGTAATCAAATTAATCATTGATCTTATTCATTTGTGGGTTTTTCCATTTCTGTTAGTGGAAGACTGGCTTGACTGCAGAATGTTTGTACTTTAAAGAGATTTACAATAGCAAAGTAATACTGATAATTATGCAAAAAGAATAAGGTGAGTGTAATAGATACAGAAATTTGAAAGGAAAATAGCTTGACAAAAGTCTTGCTTCTAATATTATCAAACTGAAACAATTGTACTGAACTGCATTTATCAATAGATTCGTTTTGAACACTGGTTAAACACATTAGAATGTACACTTTTGTTCAGCCATAGCATCAAGTTGCTTACCTCTATATCAGACTCAAATTAGACAATATTTTTTACTGTTATTTATGAAGTGAGATTATAGACATTATTTTGTACAGTGCCTTTTGAGGTCAGAATAGAAAACGGGCAAAAACCTTGAAACCTACAGTGAAATTCAGTTGACATTTGTTCTCAATGAATTAACCATCTACCTTGTCATCAGTTCTGTTCTGTCATTAATGGCACAATTATCACCAGGCATGGAGTTTCCATAATGACAAATTGTGTAATAATCCAGTATTTCATCTTGAGAAGACATGAGGTTACAAACTATTCCAACAGCTTATCCTGTTGGTAAAATAAGTAAAATATGAGAAAACAAAATATGAAAAAACAGTGGCAACTTGTTTACATGGTTTGTTAGGTACAATAGCAGTCATGAAATACAAATGCACATTACATTTGGTCTCAGTGCATCAATATTTTTCTCAATAGAAAATAAGGCTGAAAACTTCTACCAAAATATTCTCATTTATTAAAATAATGAAATACGTGAAAAATACAGCATTAAAAAAAACCCCAACCTTTATCTTTTTCAAATTACCCTTTCCATTGTATTTTCCATTAATATTTCAAAAGGGTTCATTCTCAAATAGAAAATTCATGGGCTTCTTAATTAGGAACAAGATAAGAATCTTAATTAAATTGCCCTAAATAAAGCTGAGTTTATAACCATAGTTTTATTCTTGATTTCAAGCAGTGGATATAACACATCATGTCTTAGAATCATTAAGAGGTTATCATTTTTATTCCACTACTAGTTCTGACATCTCTATGACAAATCTGTCCTGTGTTCCAAACACAGCAAGTGTCTGAATGTTTCAGGAAAGTCCTCCCTGTAGTGATTGAGCTGAAGTGGTCTCAGCTCTGCCAGTTAAATTAACTCAAGTAAAGGGCCGTGTTGCCGATGGACTCATTTTAGCTCCCAAACCATTACTTAAAGCTATTGTGTGTATTCTTAGACTACTCTACAGCCTGCAACCTAAATATATCCTTTTGTCTTCCAAGTGATTTTCTTAATTTGCAGCAAGGGTTTTTTTACTCCATTGAGGACTCCTCATCAGCTATATGAGAAAACAAACACAAAAGTTTTGAAAAGTAAAGGCTGAATGCACAACAGCTTTACCTGAAAAAAATATTATATTTAATATTCTGAAAATTGTAGTAGAAAGAAGATATACAGTGAACACTGAGTCAACTTTAAAAAAGGTTACTCATACACCAAGTAAAATAACATTGATTAATATTAAATATTTGAACAGTGATTAAAACTGAATCCAGTAAATTGCCAGGAAAGGTTATGTAGATCACTGTGTGATGAGTACTAAAATGTTATTAGAACTGATTAGGGGAAGATTGCACTCAAGAAGCAAAATTTAAGATAAATCCAAAAATAGGCCATTAAGAAATTTAAAGAAATACTTTCAACAGAAGGAATAATTTAATTTTTAAAAATGTAAATATGCATGATTGTTTCTGATTTTCCAGGAGTTATGGGGTAGAGTAGATCAAAACAGCTCAAAAAAATTTGTAGACAAAAGCTCACTTGTACTTTTTAGAGTAGCTGCTAGGCTGTGAACAAAAGTGGCAGTGGATCAGCAAACCTTAATAATTTCCCTGACTACTCAAACTGTGTAAAGCAGAGTGTTTGGTTCCCTCCTTAGCTTCATTTAGCAGGATTCCGTAAAAGCTGGTACAGATCAGATGGAAAGCACTCATGCTGAACTAAGTATGGAGTATGCTTCAATATACTATAAATTCTAATTCGGTGCTCTTTGAAATTAAAAGTACATATTTCTTTAAGTATATTGACTGGAAGCTGTTCCCAAGTGAAAATGCTAGAATAACTTCATAAATTGAAATCATAATGCTTGGGAGCCAGATTTTGCTGTGATTTGTAAAAATGCAATCTTGTTGAAACTTCCTTCTGTGCAGAAGGTCAGCAAAAGGCCTTTCCACCATTACTGTGCTGGCACTCAGTGCAAGGTGGAATTTTACTTAAAAAATTAAATGAGCTATTACTAAGCAAAAAGTCTGGATGAAACCAAATGACACATTCAGCAAGAAAGTAAACTGGTGACTAGGCAATCCCCCAAATAATTTCTTTCTTAAAAGCCAAATTGCATGGCCTAAGTTGATTGGGATATTGGGCAAACTGAAGAGAACTGCCCACATGAGAACGCATTCAGTTATGAAATATATGAAAATTTGTCTATATTGTTCTGCAACTCTCTCATGAATAAAAAAAATCCAAACACTTTCTTTTTACCTGTCTTTATCTTTGTGTTAAGGAGTGTATCCTGATGAGACTTTTCTGACTGAAAGAGACCCTCAAGAAAAAGTTCTAGTGATAACAGGAATTATCAGTACATGAATATGTGCCTGTTGTTTCTGTGTATCTGTCCTGTTCTATGACCTGAACTAATTGTTTTAGCTGCTAAATATATATTACATGAAAATGTAAAAGCTGCATTTACTGCAGTTAACGACCTTTTGCATTTTAAGATAGGCATTCGAATTTACATGTTCTTTGGAGGTGATTGATTTTTATATGGAGAAAAGACACCAATCAGTCAATCAGTTTCAACTAATCAGTGCCTTAATGGGTACGTTTGCGAAAGTATTATCTCAGCGAAAATCATCTTTCTGCACTTTAATTCTCTGATAGTTATCAAGGATTTCCTTAAACAATTTTTTTCTCATTATAACATTATGTAAATGCTGAAAAAAAAATAATCTTGCGCTTGGAAAAAAAAGATTACTAGCAATACTTTATTAAAGAATAACCGTTATGTGTGTATAGATTGTAGATTTAAAGCATCAGAGCCTGCTATGTGTCCCAATTTCGTAGACCGTTCGATGTAGTAATTTTGGCAGGCCTTTGCCTCACCGCCCCAACCCAGCCCAAAGGCGTAATTTCAGGGTCAGTGAAGTGGCCAGACTCCCCACAGTTCAGTGGCCCAAAAACCCAAATAGCACAAAGACTAGGGATTACTTGAATATATGCCTGTTGTGGATTCTAAGGATTATAAAGGTGACTCAAATCTGCATTTGTGACATCCCCTTTTCATTTTTTAACAGATTATTAGCTTTCTGCCTTGGAGGATATGACGTTCTGACAATGGATTAATGGGAAAAAAACAACCTTCCTTTTGGAATTCTGAAATCATTCAACCCAAGCTTTTAATAAAAGATCCAGGGTTTAAGCATGTCAAATGCGCATTATTTACTAAGGTCTATTAGCTGCATCTTCATATTATCTATATCTCAAG